GTACCAATGCCGGAAGGTACAAACGAGCGACAGCGAAACTGGCCGTGATGGAGATAGCAGAGGGTAACCCTGAGCCGGATGTGGCTTCCCGGACAGAGTTACGGGCCGGGGAATGTTCTAGCAACACTGGCCGTTGCCCTCCTCCATCGCTGCAGTGAATTTGGACGATGAGGTAGTAAGTAGTATGACAGATGAAGTGACGGATTGAAGAGAGGAGGATAGATAGATGAATAGAAGATAATCTGTCAAAGAACGGAAGGTAGAAAATCACAAACAATACAGTATCGATTAGAAAGTGCTTAAAAGTGAGTTTTTTTAGTATTCTGTGCTTTGGGCATTTTGTAGAAAGTTTGTGGACAAATTTAGGTCAGTGGAGGTTACAAAACACGGAACGGCAAGCAGACGACTCACAGATAGGTAAAACGAGATAAACACTGTAACAAATGAATTAAATTAAAACACTGAATTTTGTAATAGGCGGAAAGAACATTTCAGAGCGGTCTAGGTAGAAGAAAGGTTGTTTGCAGGAGGAACAATTACTAAAATTGTGAGTACTTCAACTAAAACCACAAACTATAAACACTAACACTATATTAAACGAATTCTTGCAGTTTGATCAACTTTATTTACGGTTGATTTACAAAAAAAAACGGTTTTGTTTTTCTTTGATCCGAACAATATATATATACGTTCTCTAAAGTATTCTCTTTCAAGTGAATGAAAATAATCCGCAGTTCCTTTAATAGTATGCCAAGGAGCCACTTTTGTCGATTGGCCGGGCACCGGGACAATTCGGAGGATTCATCTATTTTGGCACGTATTGCACATTGTTTGCTTTGTACCAAGCTACCGTGTCTTTCGAGTGTAGTGCATTGACGCCAAATTGGGCCAAAATAGTACTGGGTCATCATATTGACAGCCGCAGACGCCGATTCAAACACTCCCGAACGTAAATTTCAGTGTTGTTGATCGTCTCCTTCCTCACAAATGGCTTTGACAACTTGCCACACGCACGCATCGCTTGCCAAACCGTGGCCTTCTTACCAGATTTTTCGGTAAAAATTTACATATCGGCATCGTCAACCTCCTGACAATCACGGACTGTGTAGTATTGGTCTCCCGGATGTGTCTTGTACTCAAATTTGACGTATGTTACATCGTCCATGATAAAACACGCCAATTTTCCAAACAGCAGGCTAAGGATATAGCTTCCCAACTTTCGGTTTGACGAATGTGGCTTGTTCCTGACTCCGTTTTGGCTTCTTCTACTTCTTTAATGTTTTCAGTCCGTTTCTTGCCTTGGCACGTTGGACGTTACTCTTCGATGTTCTCAGTTTTTTGGCCAAATCTCGAAAAGAGTCACTTTTCTTATTGACGAATGCTTGGGTGATCTTCCGGTACAGTTTTCGGTCCACCGGTCCCGGTTTACGGCCAGATTTCGGTTTAGACTGCTCCGATAACTTCCTTCAATTTCACCAACTACCTTAATGATAGGTTGGGAAAAGTGCACCACAACAAACATCGATGAACAGCTGATAAAGTTTATCGGGGTAGAAATGGCGGCGAGTTGTTTTATTTATTTATTTATTGCGTTTATTTATAAGGCCCCCTCGCCTATTAGGCATTACTTGGGCCGATGACCATTATTTACCATTATCCCTTCCTGCTTTTATTTTTCAAATAAAACGTAGTATCCCCTATTTGATAAGTTGCATTATTTTCATCTAAACGATCTGTTTGCTGACCAGTCTTCTGGGTGCACTGATTAGCACGAGCCTTCATTTATTTTGTTCTCCTTGTGCTTCGACAGCCGGCGTTTGTTGGTATTTTCAATGAAATCTTTTGTTGCGTTTGATGAGCTGGTGCTAGAGTTTTCGTCGTTGCTTGAAGTGTGATGATCCTCGGTTTGATTGTCGGTGTTTCGCTGTTGTTCTTCTGCTGAGAACCCGGTGAAAGCAGGAGATAATTGACCCGATGTCGTTGGCTGGTTTTGTTCGATATCCATCGACGGGAAATCAGCGAGACTGAATACCCCCTCGGTTAACGGCGCCGGTGGTGTAGTGGTAAGCGTGATTACCTCTCACCCCAGTAGGCCTGGGTTCAATCCCAGTCGGCGCCGCAGGGATGTTCTGAGGCATAACATCTCTGATCACGCCTTCCTTCGGATGGGAAGTAAAGCCGTTGGTCCCCGGTTCATGAGTTGATGGGTCGATAGGTAGGGTCCAGGTGTGGGAGCTGCCTTCCTGGTACGTCGGTAGCATTGGTGCTCAGCACGGAAAACAAGATCGACGGAAAAAAACAAACCAAAGGAGTACCCCCTCGGTTGGTGGTGCTGCTGGAGCGGTGCTATTGTTCGATGTGGCTTCATCCTAACATTTCTGTTTGGGATGTGCTGCTCGGCCACAATGGCGGCACGTTTTTGGTTGCTTGTCGTACACTGAAAAAAGTTTTCGTATAGTTTCCATTGGGAACGCACATGATATTTTTCCAATAACAAAATTAATGATTTTTACCTGAAATTCACATAAGATTCATATGATCACATGAATTCTATGTGTTAAATCACATAAACTTCATTGGACACATAAGGTTCATGTGATTTCGTGGTGCGATTCCCAATTATGAGATCACATGAAAGTTTTGTGAAATTCTAATGGATATTTTCCATCGGAAATGTGATTTATTTTTTGAGTGTACGTTACCAACGTTGTTTCGTTGTCGACCGTGATGTATGATAGAATGGCGCTTTGAGTCGCATTCGCAAAACTCGAACACCGCTCAGGAATCCTGGGAAGTAGTGCTTCCATTTCTCATGTCGACTGTAAATCACTGTCCCGTACTTTGCCATGTGGTTCATAACAGTGACTTGTGGCCATGCACTCGAACGGTCACTGCTTCACAATCCACATATACTGGGATTTTGAACTCACTCTTCGCACAGAGAATCGCGTGTTTATAGTTGTGCGCCTTTTCATAGCGCAAGGCAACTTCATTGTCTATCATATCTCAATAAAAACACAATTTCGGTCGATATGAAACTGAATGCATCTTACGTCCGAATATTGAAGCTTAATATTGTTCTCGAAGAATTTTTGCACTTTTCCCGCTATGAAATGAACTGGAAGGACACTGAAGTCAACAACAAGTGTGTTTTTACGAACTACACTCATACAAGTTAAACAAAGAAGAAAGTGCACACGTCCCATGAATACGAGTAATGAAATGGCGGCGAGTTGAAATTGTGCTTATACTTTCTGGGACACCCTATAAGTTTGGCGTATGAATTTGAATTCCTACACTCAAAAAATAAATCACATTTCCGATGGAAAATATCCATTAGAATTTCACATAACTTTCATCTGATCTCATAATTGGGAATCGCACCACGAAATCACACGAACTTTATGTGTCCAACGAGGTGTCCAATGAAGTTTATGTGATTTATCACATAAAATTCATGTGATCATATGAATGTTATGTGAATTTCAGATAAAAATAATTAATTTTGTTATTCGAAAAATATCATGTGCGTTCCCAATCGAAACTATATGAAAACTCTGAATCCAGAGTGTTCGGATTATTAACTTCGTAATTTGTTCCCAATGCTAGGTTAAATGTGTATAAGAACCACTCGTAGCACCTCATGTATTACGATAAACATTCACAAGTCGTGCTTATGAAATGCATAACTCATGCCTATGGAATTCATAAGTATCTTATGAAATCAAAATTGTCCAGGTTCATAATGACATGTCTTATGGAATTCTTAATAGTGTTTTTACCTCATTGTAACTTTTGGGAAAATTATCAGGACCTGATTTGAAATCGATTGAGCTTGATGGAGCAAAATCGATATTTTAAACCACCCTAATAAACATATTATAGACTTGGTTTTATAAGACTAGCGCTAATGTCACTAACCAGAATTTAACTAGTTCGAATGCCAAGCCCGAAAATAATAATTTGAGAAGATGTTTCCTGAGCAGTTCTTCCGACTTGTACTGTCGCGTCACTTTTCAATAGGTTTTAAGTAACAAATGTAAACAAATCGAGTTAAGCGATACAAACTATTTCTCCTTTATCATTGTATGTGATACAAAAACACCCATCCAAATTTACTTTCATTTTATTTAAGATAATCATAGGTCAAAAATTGTCCAATGTACAGCTTGGTACATGAGGGTACATGATTGTTACTTAGGTCATTTGGACTGCCTAACATGATTGGTGCTCATTTTCTAAAGGCGGGGCCAATCTAAAGTTAGGTACTCTACTCTGAAATCTGTGAAAGGGATCTAGTATCATGTAGAACAAAACGTCCAATGTAACACTCATTGACTATATCATTGAGAAAAATTGTCCAATGTAACATGTCCGATGTACAACTTGGCTAGTCAAAACGCCCTATGTGGTTTTTTGTATATTGTAGCATGAAATTCAAAGTAAAATTATGATTTTACCGTTTCTACTGAATTTTCAACGTTATTATTCACTGACCACAGTAAACATAGTATTTCAAAATGTATTGTTTCTAAACAGTTAAAATAATAGTCTGTCGAACTTCAACTTCGATTTTCTCAAAATGGCGGATATGTTACATTGGTCTATTTGAAAAGTGACGCGAATACTGTACTGTGATTGAAGTTTTGATTTGATAATTTGAGATTTAAAAATTGACTTTGGGAAAACTTGTGCGCTCTAGGATTTGAAAGTTTGATGAGAAATCATAATCTTATATTTTAGGGAAGATTTATCTTCCTTTTAAGCATTAGCAGTTCTTTCGTGAACTTTGGAACATTTGTGAGCTCAATTACTTGAATGATTGAAAAGAAATCAGAATATCAAATATTTAAGCATTTCAGAAGTTTTATGAATGTTTTAACAAAGTTACATATACATATACAAAAAACCAGACTATTTTCAAACGATTCGAGCTCGTGTTACATTCGAATTATTGGCAAGTTAAATCTTTAGTAATACCTTTCATCATCTTCCAACAGGTCTTCCGTCATGGTCAACGGACGCCAGCCGATACTTATCCCAATGATCCGCTGATCAATAGCACATTCGCTCCGTACGGTTGGGGCCAACTAACGAACGTAAGATTCAAAGTGTTTTGTGTTACTTCATACGTGAAGTTTACGATTTTCAGAGTTGGTTGAAAATGCTTTCGGCAACGTGGGTGATAAATGGAACTAGAGCTATTGCACAGCTGCGACAGTATATGAACTATTCAAACGCGCACTCTTTTGCCTGTGGATTTGAAGAAAAACGTCAAGTCTCCTCATCCATTAACGTATGAGTTAGGTAAAGGAGTGTGCGTTCGACTAGTACTGTGGCATTAACGGCCCTTCGCTCATTTTCATCTTCTATTAAATTTTCACACTGCCGTACTCTAGCGGAACTATCAACCTATCCTCTACAGAACTGTCTCTAGTTAGTAAATCATCACACTAAAGCTCCATGTTTATATTAGTATAGCATTTCCAATCAACTCTGAACGTAAGATGTTATTACCATTTCCGAATAAAAGGTGACTGTAGAAAACTCCATCCAACAATCCATTTCATAGTTCGGCAAGCAGAGTCTCTACAACATCGGAGTATGGTTACGCCATCGCTACGCCAAACTCCTTGGGAAGCTGTACTACTCGGACAAGATCTTCGCCCAAAGTACCGGCGTGTCTCGAACGCAGATGTCAATCGAGTTGGTTTTGGCTTCGCTATATCCGCCCGCAGATACCGCCCAGGAGTGGAACAAAGCACTCAACTGGCAACCGATTCCGTACTTCAGCGAACCTCTGGATCAGGATACGGTACGAAGTCGCCATTCGCCATTGATCATGTATCAAACCACCCTAATCTGATCCCTTTTACAGCTGCTACTGGTTCGGACATCATGCCCCCGCTACCACGAAGCACTAATGGAAGTCATGGACAGTGCTGAAGTTCGTCAAATCCTGAACGAAAGTCAAGAGCTATTCGATAATCTGACCCTCATCACCGGTATGAACATAAAAACGCCAGACGACGTGCAATCTCTGTATAGTACACTGAAGGCGGAGTCCGAGTTCGGACTGCAGCTACCCGAGTGGACCAAGGATTACTATCCGGAAAAAATGCTTCCACTGACTACTCTCAGCTACGTACTGAACGTCTACAACGATGAATTGAAGAAGTTGAAAGGCGGACCATTCCTGAAGAAGACCCTCGGCGAATGGGAAGCGGTGATGGCCGCGGACGAGTTCTCTAGTGCGAAAAATAAGAAAATGTTTATCTACGCTGGACACGATTCAACGGTGGTTAACATCCTTTCAGCGTTCAACGTGTGGAAAGAGCAATTTCCAGGCTATGCCATCATGGCACTGTTTGAACTGTACAAACATCAATTTTCAGGAGAATATTATGTGAGAATTTACCAGAAGAATGTGGGGGAATCGCCGGTTAGTCTGAAGATTCCCGGCTGTAGTAAATACTGTCCAGTGAAAAAGCTGAAATCACTGTTAAGCAGTCACATTATGACCAATATGGCGGAACAGTGCAAGGCACATGCTGCTGGCTTCGAGGAGCCACCACCAAGTGGACCCTGAATCTCAGCGTGTGTGTGTGTTAGCGTTAGACTAGGGTAGGATTGTTAAATGTGATGAAAAATTATTGTGATTTGAAGTTTTTACGATTAAAACTGCTGGAATTTATTTGATTTAAATATTTGTTACTACAATATCCGAACGGTCATTGAAAATTCGTTTGTTTGGTTCGGTCAGTCACTTTAACACTTTTTAGGACAGTTTGTTGTGACTTGTGTGTGGAAGTGATTTCAACCATCAGAACTAACAAAGCTCATACAGCTCCAGTTATATATTTCTAGCATTCAAAATCATAAGGGCCTAACTGCAGTGATCGATTCCCTTCATCGTATTTCTCTTCGCATTACCACAGTTCAGTGAACCAATTTTCCTAAATTATTACAATACAGTGTAGTGAAAGGTTGCATCAACTAGCAAGCCTAATAAAATTTGTTTGTTGCCGGTAGAGATGAAACTTTTGGATTTCCGATCGCCGAAATTGCGAAATTGACCAGTTTTATGGGTCAAGCACATACTTTACACCCTCTTCTTGTTGTTTACAAATACAACATAATGATTTCATAATTCCGAAAAACAATTTTGTATAGCAAGTGATTGGAAGCAACTCTGCATACATGCATCGAGGCGAAGATAAACAAACACAACAGGAAAAGAAAGAACACAACATGAAAAGAGTAGAGAATTCACGAAAATCTCCCTGCAACCTTCTCCGGCAGCAAAGAAAATCTCCAACGAAATCGTGCAGAAGCTCCCTCAGGAATTTCCACTGCTAACATCAAAATAACGTGAAACCTGCTCCGCCGAGAACGCGAGACAACTCCGTCGAAATTCCGTAGAACCACCGTTGGCAGCATCGGAAATCTCCACCGGAATCATGCAGAAGCTCCTCCACCTAAAACACCCGAGAAAATACTGTACAGATTTTCTGAAACTTCCGTTGGCAGCACGAAAATCACCACCGTGAATGCTAGAAAACTCCGACGAATCTGGAACATCCGCTGGCAGAATCAGTGAAACATTTCAAACACTAATTCTGCATCTTTGCAAAGTTTGTTGTTATTCACATCGTCGTGATTTTGCGCTGCTAAATTTATCATTTTTTTATCACACGGGCTATCGTTATTCGTTTTTTCCGTTCGGTATACTTGTAATATTGTACTGGTTGTTAGTGGAAAGTGTAGTTCGTTACGATAATCGGCTAATTAGAGCATATTTTGTGTTGTGAAAACAGCGAAAAAATTATCCAATCGGACATATTGTACACGACTAGCATTGGGCGATCTCGAGAATCCAATTCCTCTTTGCGTATTAGAGCATCTCCACCGCTGTTTCTAAATCACTTTTGGAAACTGAGTCAGCATGACTTCCGCCTGTGACCAATGCGCTAAGCCAGTTAAAGGCGATGAAGAATCCGTCTCCTGCATGGCTTTTTGCGACAGGATGATTCAGCTAAGGTGTGGCGGCACAAAGCTGAATAAGGCTTTTCTGAACATTGTCCACACTAGCCCGAACCTGTTTTGGATGTGTAACGAGTGCGCGAAGCTGATGAAATGTGCTCGATTCAAAACTGCCGTCTCGTCGTTTGGCAGTGTGATTAATTCTATCACCGAGAGACAGGAAATCGCACACGCTGAGCTTAGGAAGGAAATGGCTAAGCAAGAACAGCAGATCGCTCAGCTATCAAAACGAATCGCATTGACAACTCCGACAAACTCTGATTTCATGCGTCAACCGCCATTAAAACGGCGCCGCGATGAAGGCTCGCTCACAGGAAAACCACTTGTTGGTGGTTCTAAAGCAGTAACAGGCGACAATGCATTTACCGAGGTCCTTACTGTCCCTGAACCCACCGAGCTGTTTTTGCTGTACCTTTCTCGTATTCATCCTAGCGTGAAATCGGAATCAATCGAGAAGCTGGTGAAAGGTTGTGTACAGTGCGAAGATCCGATTAAGGTTGTGCCGCTAGTCAAAAAAGGATCCGACATCAACCGTATGAGCTTCATCTCGTACAAAGTCGGAATGGATCCCAAACTACGCGAAGCTGCTCTTAGATCGGATACATGGCCGAAAGGAATTTTGTTCCGTGAATTTGAAGACGGTTCAAAAAACATGTGATTGCCTCGTTTGAACACGCTTACCATCACGATCTCTCCTATTACGGGACCTTCCGAGTTCTCAACTCCCATTTCCGGACTAGACCCAGTCTGCTGATTCAGAATTGGATTTTGCGTTGTGAATCGGAGCGCTGTAGACCAGAACGCAATGCCACATCGAACCACTCGATCCAGTCGCGCTAGCTGTTTCACGCCACCAAAGTCGTTCTATTTCCTGCCATCAGAGTCGTTCTGGCCCTGCGGTCGAGTTCGGTGGTGGGGTATCCCAAGCATCGTCTTCAGTTACAGTCATTCGCCTGATCAGTTTCCGTGTTCCAGTGCAACGCTTCAAGCACCTGCCGGCTGTTTCCAGTTGAGAAGCACTTCTGATACTGCTCATTCACAACATCCTCTTTACTGTTCGAACAATCCTAATTCATCTCCGGGACGCACAATAGACCGCTCTTTGGAAGCTCCTGGTTACTCCAGCCCAGTCGTGCCGATTCCCGCCAGCGTTCAGCATAGTCGTCCTGGACCTGTGGCTGGATATGAATCAGGAGTCTTCCACCTTGCCTCTACAAGCAAGTACAATCAATATATTAACTATTCACTGCCTGATGCCGATCAAATTTTCAGCAATTCTAACTATGTTAGCCATTGTGATGATGCCTCTGTAACTCCTAATCCTGGAAACCCGGAACGCGCTGTAGAAAGCCCCATGGAAGGCCCCAATCCCTCCGTCTCAGTCCTGCCATCAGCAGTCTTCGTTCATCATAGTCGTACCGGACCTGCTGTCGGATGCGGAGAGGGGGTCTTCCAACCCACTCACTATGGCGAGTATCCAATGAGACTTGATGATGGTCAGTTATTACCTGATGTATCTGTGATTTCCAGGGAGAGCAGTCGTTCGATTCCTTGCCGCAAGCATGACGTCGTGATCTTCTACCAAACGCCGGTGGAATGAATTCTGATGTTGAAGAGTACCGCCTAGCTGTATCGGATCGTTGCTACGATATTATTGTCCTGTGCGAAACGTGGCTCGATTATCGAACGCTTTCCAGTCAAGTCTTCGGTCCTGACTACGAGGTCTTTCGTTGCGATCGGAATCCTAACAACAGCCGTAAATCTACTGGTGGAGGTGTCCTTGTAGCTGTCCGTAGCAGGTTGGAGGCAAAGGCCATCGAGAACGATTCATGGAACAATGTGGAGCAGGTTTGGACAGCCATCAATCTGGGTGATCGCACACTATTTCTATGCGCTCTGTACATTCCACCTGATCGAGTCCGCGACAATGAACTCATCGATACTCACTGTCGGTCAGTTTCCACAGTTGTCGAAAGGTCCACTCCAGTTGATGAGATATTCATTTTTGATGACTTCAATCTGCCAGGCGTTTCGTGGAGTCCATCTCATAGCGGATTCCTGTATCCAGATCCTGATAGCTCTACATTTCACGCAGGAGCTATTAGCCTTCTCGACAACTACAGCGCAGCGACGCTTTCTCAAATTAACCATGTAGTTAACGAAAATGGTCGTAGTTTGGACCTCTGCTTCGTGAGCACACAGGACAGGGCTCCATCAATTTCCTCGGCTCCTTGTGCACTAACTAAGCTAGTTCCACATCACCCTCCTCTAATTGTCACTGTTGAGGACAAACTCGTGCGTGATTTCGGCGACTATACTGCTACGGTTTCTTATGACTTCCGTAAAGCTGACCACCGTAGCATCATAGATGTATTGTCTAGCATGGTATGGGAGAACATCCTTGATCCAGATGACGTTGAGGCTGCAGCGCACACATGTCTTGGCATATGTCATTGACTCACCCTCCCTGGCAGACGAGAGAGCTACGTAGGTTCTGCTAAACCAACACCTATCCTGCAATCTCTTCGACAGGACGAGTTGCAAGCGGCCGAAACGATCTTGTGGAGGCAGGCTCAACGCGACAGGTTTCCAGATTAGAAAACATCCGGACATACTCCTTTAAGGACATGCGGTAACCAACAGGTTGATAATGTACTACCATAAGAAGTTCGGCCATGGAATCGTGAGACCGTGTGTAATGAATTGCGGTAAAGGTTCGCTGTAAAGATGCTGCACAAAATGCAGTCTCTTTAGTTCGCTGTTGTAATGAATCGCTCCCATGATTGCATCGCTACTGGTACAACGGATTACGCCACAGCTTCGCTAATGGCGGTTAGTAGGTTTGTCTGCAAACGTGGAGCTCCGGATGAAATATTCTCCGACAACGGCACAATCTTCAAAGACACTATCAATGTGTTGGAAAGGATGTGCACAGCGAATGAGAACGACCCAAATTTGAGTTTAGTTCACTCATAATCGCCAAAAGTAAAGGTTCTCAGCGATGAATAAATTCGACAGTGAGCATGCATAAGGGCGAATACGCGATGATCGATTCTCTTCATCGATATTCTCTTTGCATTGCTACAGCTAAGCGAAACAATTTTCTAGAATTTGCAGAGTAGTAACAGGTTGTATTGGCTATCAAAAGCAACAGCAAACGCACCGAGAAACGTTAAATCTAGCGAGTTATTAACAAAAGAGAAAATCGACGAAGAGAATCGATCATCGCGTATAGGCCCTTATGCATGCTCACTGTCGAATTTGCCTTATGGTTTCCTGTGGAAAACTTCAAAAATCTGCCGGAAAATGAGGAAAATTGACGAAAATATTACGCAGTCGAGGAGTAGTACCAATAGACTGAGAGAATCCAATCTTTAGTTTACTGCGCCACTGTTCCACCTCACCATCCGTCGACACAACCCAAAAAATCGTGTCTTACCATGCAGACCACAAACCTTTGCACAACCCCACATTGGCGACATATCGCTACCAGCCGGACGTCGTAAAAAATGTTACCCTTTTGCATAACCCTACACCCTGTCTACCTACCGTTCAATTTCCTTTCAACAGAAAATTTACTGCATTTACATCACTAATCAATTGGTCAATTTTAAGCTTTGGAACGTCTTATGTATGTTTGTATGTAAGGTAGCCACCATCCCTTCAAGACTTGGCTTGTATACAGCTCCACTTAATAGCAAGATTAATTTGAGCTACCGATCTGAATTCACAATATCGCTGTATGAAGGGTTTTTAAGCTTCGGAACGTCTTAGTCAGTAAACAATTGCGACAAGTTTTCTGAATTCATGAGTCAAGTTCGACAATTTAGTAAATATAAAATTTGTCCTACATACTTGCTAGATCACCAGTTATCGTCTTCGGCGAAGGGCCCTTTCCGAGCCTTTTTCGGTTGACTAGCAGCACCAAATGCAGCCACCTCCTCAGCGCTAACTTGCGGCGGAACTACCGACGCTGGTTTTTCTTCTTTTTCCGCTTTGCCGCCTTTGTGGTGGTGGTGGTGGGAATGGGAGCTATGATGGTGCTGCTGCTGTGGATGTCCTCGATCGGCACTATCACTATCATGCCTTCGCTTATCCCCAGCACACTGTTGGGAGAAAGGGAAAAAAGTATCCCATAAATGCGCTGTCCCACGGGTTCCTAGAAGAATATGAACAATACTTGCTGCTTGGCCTTGAATTGGTTAAGCGTGCAGATGGAAATGCTCGACTTGTCGATGGTTTTGATCACGTGGCTTGCGTAGTCACGATTGTGCAGCGTGATGAAAGCCGAGCTGCTGTTAACCCAATTTATGTACACTTGGCCATAGTTGCGGAAACGGGTTATGATGTCGCTCTGGCGCCAGTTTTCCGGGAAGGAAACGAAAAAGATGTGCTCTCGCGAGAAGGATGCTATCGATTGGAGAAGATATTTGATTGAAAAACTCTCAATAACTTTTCTTGTCACCGTTGCCACTTACGCTCTTTTCCATGTGTGTAGATGTAATTAATTTCAGAAACTCGTAGCAAAAAGATTCTAAAATATTCAAAGCTGTAAGGACATCTCAGCTAACATTTTACCTGAACTTACCTGTTGAAGTAAGCTTTGAGAACGGGATCGTGGGTTAAATCTTTCAGATCAACTTTGAAGAAACTGACCAGCCCCAGGAAGCACAATCCCGTCAAGTACGCATCGTATCCGGCATCGTGTTGCTTCATTTCTTGCGGGGAATACTTGTGTTCCTCCAATGCGCAGCTTACCTCCGGTAGCTTGAAGGGTTCTTTGTTGACGGCATCGAAGACGTGTCCCAGCACCGAGGAGTATACGTGTACTTTGAGTTCCCCGTTCGTGCATAGATACTTTGTGTCCAGTAATCTACAAACAAGTCAACATTAATATCCTCAAATGTCTTATCAAATGTAATAAAATCCTACAAAGGAAACAGTTCCCGAACGATCTTTTTGAATTCATGGAAGTTGGGCGGCAGCGGTCGGAAGAATTGCCGAATCACGAACAGCAAATCCAGGAGCATATTGTGCCCAATGATCAGCTTTTTCGCACGGGACAACTCTTGCAGAACCAACGAGAGACCCACCGCCAGCTCCAACTCTTCGTTCTCCTGAGCAGCCCGTTCCGCCTCCAGCTTTAATTCTTGTTCCTTAGTTCGTTTCCGCTCTACCAGGATGGCTTTGTGATTGTTCTCCAAAGTAACCGAAGAAGTAGAAATAGCCTTCTGATACTTCGAGTCTATCAACTGGTACACCAACTTTCGCTGGAACCCATTACACTTGGTGATGGTGAAATCCTTGTCCTCCGACTTGAGGAACACTTCGATCCGCTCGGTGATTTCGCTCATCAACTTTTCCTCCTCCGGTGGCACCGGGACCATATTCAGCGAATCCTTCTCGCCATTTTCATCCTCCTTTGCTTCCAAAGCTGCAGCACGCTGCTCTTGTCTGTCCTTCAACTCTACCCTAAACCTCTCCTCGTCGGTCTCCCCACAGTACGACAAACCCTCCCGAAACAGCTTATTGAAATCGAACTCATTTTCCGCCAGAAAACGCATACTCTCCCCCTGGCAGGCAAATATGTGTACTCGGCCCTTGGGATAGCAGTAGAAATTGTAACATTTGTACGACACAAGTCCAGTTTCCGGGTGAACCTGAAAGGCACACAGCCCCAGCTGAATGATAATAAAGTTTGCAGAATTTTCGATCGTCTTCAGGTACACCTCTTCCGGTGTATCGAAGGGCAGAACATTCCGATCCGACGTCAGCCCGGTGAACTCCCCATCGATGGCGAAAAAGTTTGCCTCCCGGATTGCCTGCCGAATCGAGGGCAGCTGCTGGATGAAATCTGCAAAAAAAAACAATTAAAATTTTATTTAATCGCTGTGAAATGGGCGAGTCCGCTGCGTGCTTACTTTTGGTTGTTATTTCCATTGATGAAGGATTAATTTGACTGGATTGGGTTGAAATTTAACACGATTTCCTGTGCCGGTGAATTTAATTGAAAGTACAACTTGCGCTTTGTTTACAGATTTTGCGCTTCACCCACGACTTTCTCTTTTTTTTTCGATTTTTTTTTTTATATCACAGGGTTTGGAATCAATACTCGTGCTATAATCGTGGCTATAATTTAAATTGATGCTCGTAGGGCTGCATAAATCTTATACAACTCACATAAGACGCAGGGTTGCAGAAATATTACTAAACAACGAAAGGTTAAAATTGAATCAATTCATTTAATTAATTAATTCACTCAGGAATAATCTTATTCCAAGAATGATTTAATTTTATACTTTTTAGTAGAAAATTTGATCGTACATTGAATCCTGATGAATGTGGGCGTCTTAGTGGAATACGTGTATAATGAGAGAGAGAAGGATTAGTAGTTTCCATACCCGAAAAAAAATAACAACAAAAATACATTAAAAAACAATGTAACAATAAGACGAAAATTATTGTCTTAACAATGATTTATATTGTTACGTCTACAATAAATTTACCTTGATTTATGTTGTACAAAACAATAAATTTCATGGTAAATGGAAAATTTACAATAAAAAAGGGGGGTTGTTAAGTATCTTAACAATGAAATTTTCGTGATTTTCCCATATAATTTTTTTTCAATAACATTATATATTATTGTTATTTTACTGTTGGTTGGCGAATTTATTGATTAATAAAAATAACAGTGTACTTTAGAGTGTATGTGTTGGCCTGACAGATCTACTTTATCGACTTTAAAAATAAATGGAGAAAATAAAACATTGCCCCGGGAAGGGAAGGGGGTGGTATATGTCTGTTACGGGTGGTCCTTTTTTTACTGGTTATGGATCGAGATTCGATCCGGAACTTGTGAGAAATGCAGGCCAACTCCCCTGCGCTCGATATCCCTAGGTCACGTCTCCTTGGTGGTTGAGCGTCGTTGATAAGTTAATGCATTCGACTGGAGAGAATCGCCCATGAAATATGCTTCCACCTGAGAGTTCCTTCCTGACATCTTCAAGTGGTGGAATTTTTTATTATTATTGTATGATTATTGACTGCACGGAAAAGATCTCCATTAAGCTTTAGAGAGGGTCTAGGATAAGATATGAGCGGACGCGGACTGCCTGGTTTTGAGCCAAACGAACTGTCAAAGCCAGAGCCATACGAGCAGCGCCTATCTTGATTACATTGGCAGTGTTGCTGACCCTCTCATAGTCTGCATGCTTCAATCAGATTTATTTTTATTGTGAAGTAACCCACAATGAAAATACACCAATATTTAATGTAACAACAATTTTTATTGTAATAGAGTTGTTCATTATTGTTCATGATCGAATCATGTTAACAATAAAATAAATGAAAAATACGATAAAAATCATTGTAACAACATTTTATTATGTACATTAATTGTACAGCTAGGTAGCAGTTTTGCCGTTTTCGGAAGAGTACAACATTATAACAATCATTTTTATTGTCGACAATAAATATTAATGTTAGAGCATTGTTTCCACTGAAAATTTCACTGTAATTTTTTTTTCGGGTATCCCGTTCACATTACAGCGTATATCACGTGATATACACTGTCTTGCAATCAGCACTCATACATCTAGTTTTCACTGGAAATCCTATGTATGAGTGCTCATTGCAAGACAGCCTATATTACGTGATATAGGCTGTAATGTGAACGGGGTATAATTCCACTACCTTATTTGCTTATCCTTGACAGATAAGCGTATTTTGTCTACAATGTGCAGACTTCTTCAGTGTCTTGTACTAATACTCGACTACTCGGCAGTCGAGTATTAGTACAAGACACTGAAGAAGTCTGCATATTGTAGACGAAATACGCGTATCTGTCAAGGATAAGCAAATAAGGTAGTGGAATTAAATGGAAATTACTAATCCTTCTCTCTCTCATTATGATCGTACATTGTTTGGTTCAGAAACTAAAAGGCTTTAGATTTTATTTTCCACTAAAAATTAACACAAGAGACAACATCACCAACTAGCATAATCTTTGAGCAAAATCTCGAGCAAAATTATATTCTTAATTATAATTCTGTTGGTCTCCGATTGCATATGAAAGTTAGGATTTTCCAGTAAGAATCATCCAAATAATTGTTTCTCTACCCCGTTCACATTACAGACTATATCACGTAATATAGGCTGTCTTCACACGAGTGGAACTTCGGATCAGAAAGTGGCTCCACTTGTCATTTTCGAACACTAGCGCACCTAGCGGTAGAAGGCATCTTCTGCCTGCAGTTAAGATATGCAGCATGCTATGATAGTGTGAGTGCACATAGAAAGCCCGTGTGGAACGCTACCACAACACATTGCTTGTTGAGCAGCAAAACGAACCACTTTTGATTCATCGATTTGTTTGTACTTCCCCTTCTGTTCTGTGCTGTCTTGCAATGAGCACTTATACATAGGATTTCCAGTGAAAACTAGATGTAAGAGTGCTCATTGCAAGACAGCGTATATCACGTGATATACGCTGTAATGTGAACGGGGTAAATCATTTATTTGGATGATTCTTATGTAAGATCGGAACCTCACTTCATCCGAGTTTGAAACCTATGTTTTACGTGACTATCAGTTATCAGAGTTGGCCTGACAGAAATCTTATCTGGCAGTGAAAAAAAAGAGAAAATTATCTGAAGCAACTTTTTCCATCCCAGGACGAGAATCGGAAGTTAAGCATCTCAATCCCGAGCTGAATCCACGGAAACAATCATAGACATTCCGGACGTGCTAATGAGATCTAAAAAAAAGTAGAAGGGTCTGTGCCTAGGGGCACGAACGGAAGCTTGACGTAGGACCGCTAGTGGACGGAATAAATGTGAAGAGCATTTAGATCTTTTAATTGATCAATTATCTATTATCTCAACTCTTTCCGTTTTTGAATTGTAGGCGTACCAAATATGAAGTAAATTTTTCAAAGAGAAAGTTGATGAAGAGAATCAATCAAAATCACTTGCACCCCTGCTTCCAAGTTTGGTTACAAGATTATAACTCTGGAGAGCATTATGTGTGGTCGTTGAGGGCTTGTGGTTCTGAATATGGACAAACAAGCTCAGATAAATTCTATTCCAACTCTTTACTGATGTAAGCTTGATAGCCCTGAAAAAGGCCGTTTTATTGAAGAGGACATCCATGGCCACTTACGCTTGGCGTGTTTAGTGTAGGACCTCATTTTCCAGGAACACCTTCAGCACACCTCGTAGATCAGACCGGAGATACGTTTGACACCACCACGGCGAGCCAGACGACCGATGGCGGTTATCTCGAAGAACTTTGTGATGACGCTTGGCGCCTCCTTTACCAGTCCTTTTCCTCCTTTGCCACGACCAGTCAATTGTTGCTTGTTAGGTGTGAAGGAGTGGCAAGCCACCACCTTCCTATTGCGGTCGGAAGCAAAAATGAGCTAATGCCATTACAGCAGCGCTCTTTTATATCTTTTCCGGTTAAAGCAGAATGATGTGCAACCAAATGGTATAAAAGCTACTAAGACTCCTCCCATTATGAGTAGTTTGCTATCAAGTAGCGACACTGTCTCTTTTCCTTTTGCGTACATGGCGAATGAGAACGACCCAAATTTGAGTTTAGTAATCGCCAAAAGTGCAGGAACTCAGCGATGAGTAAATTTGTCTCATGGTTTCCTGTGGAAACCTAAAAAATCTGCCAGAAAATGAGGAAATCGACGAAAATTTTATTCAGTCTCGGAGTAGTACCAATAGACTGAGTGAATCCAATCTTTACTTTTCTCAAATTCTGGAATTTTTCCCTGGAAAATCCTGGAAAAACCTCGGAAAACATGAGGCAAATTTACTCATCGCTGAGTTCCTGCACTTTATTTCTTATTTCTGAGATAACTAAACTCAAATTTGGGTTGATCTCATTCGCCGTGATATCACCTTGAAAGATATGGGCGCCGGTGGTTAGCGTGATTACCTCTCACTCCAGCAGGCCTGGGTCCAATCTCAGTCAGCGCCACCGGCATGTTCTAAGGCATAACATCTCTGATCACGCCTTCCTTCGGGAAGTAAAGCCGTTGGTCCCCGGTTGAGTTGATGGGTCGATTGGTAGGGTCCAGATGTGGAAGCTGCTTCCCTGGCGTCGGTAGCATTGGAGCTCAGTACGGAAAACAAATCTCGCGTCACTTTTCATTAGGTCCTATCTACATTTATCGATTCTCTTCATCGGCACTCTCTTTCGTAAATAACTCGGCTTCACAAATGTTTCCTGCCGTCTTCGTCGAATTAGATGCTAGATTGTTGCTTCTTCCATCGAAAATATCCGGCCGTGGCGATTCAAAGTTGATCAAGGTTGATCAAAATAATTTGTACCCCTGCTTCCAGTTTGATTACATGAGCATTTTGTGTGGTCGTTGGTTCTGAATATGGACAAAGAGGCATATGAATTCTATACCTACTCTTTACTGTAATAAGCTTGGTGGCCCTGAAAAGAGCCGTTTTGTTGCCAAAGTTGGTGATGATTTAACCTCCGAAACCAAACAGAGTGCGTCTCTGTCACTTCAAAACGTAGATGACATCCATGGCCGCTTACGTTTGGCGTATTGAGTGTAGGTGACAGCATCACGGATCTCTTTTTTCATGAACACCTTCAGCACACCTCGTAAATCAGACCGGAGATACGTCAGACACCGCCACGGTGAGCCAGACGACGGATGGTGGTTATCTTGAAGAATTTGCGTTTGGTTCTGAATATGGCGATGAGTGTGCAAAATATTACGCAATTCCATCCTCCCTATTCGCACGCACCCGAGGATCGGAGGCGAATACCACTTCGACTTGTTTCGTCTACTTACTACTCTCTGACGACTGTGCTGGGGAAGCAGCATATGCATGTAGGTGGATTTGTTAGTTAATTCGACATTTTTGGACAATGCTGGACATTTACCAGTTTTCAATAGTTTCTTGTTGAAAATCAATATTTGGAAGCATTGTTATCGATGCGTAGCCATATATCTGATCGATTGGTGATAAAATTATTGAAATTGGACCAAGGGCAACTGAGTTATTAACGTTCAAAATCTTTCTTAATTTGTTACATGTTCCATTTTCGTTTTTCACAAAGTGTACCCCCATATAGAAATCAAAGACGTAGTCCTACGTCAAAATAACGGTAGATTAAAATAAAATGCTTCATTTGCAAAATAAAAGCATTTTAAGATTGCACTCGTATACCTCACCGTGTAAAATTTTAAAACCATCATCACACTAATTGTTTATTGTTTATTGTTTATTGTTTATTGAAAAATTCAACTGACAAATACTGTCTAAATGAATAAAACTTAAACTAAATAGTTACGGTCAACGGTACGGAAAAGGCCAAGTAGCCGATGACGAAACACGTCAGCTGATACATTGAAGTCGAACATATAAAAAAAGTTGTTGAATTGCCGGCTGATTGCTCGAATTGGCTCGTGTTGTGTATAATTCCGGCTCCGTGGTTCCAAAAACAGAAAGGCGCGTTGACGAAGAGACCTCTCAGGGGCATACATATTTAGTTGTGACAGCAGTGTTGGGCAGTCAATGTCACCTGTAAGCAGCTTTCCAGCGAACATAGCTTGAGCGACCGTCCGTCTCACCTCTAATAGCTCGATTCCCAGGAGACGGCAACGCTCCTCGTACGGTGGCAAGTTCGTTGGGTCACGCCAGTTGAGGAAACGAAGAGCATATCTCACAAACTTGTGTTGAACGGATTCAATTCTAGTGATCCAGCTAGCATGGAAAGGGCACCAAACAACTGAACTTGACTCCAATAAGGATCGCACAAGCGAGCAGTAAAGTGACCTGAGACATAGCGGGTCACGAAACTCGTCGGCAATTTTGAAAATAAAGCCCAATTGTCGATTAGCTCTGGAGATGATGTCATTGTAGTGGATTCTGAAAGTGAGTCTGCAGTCCAAGGTAACGCCGAGATCCTTTATGTGCTCTACACGAGCAAGATAGCGTCCGTAGAGAACATAGTCAAACATGATTGGTTCAATTTTTCGGTGATATGAAATAATGTTACATTTTTCTATGTTTAGACTAAATTTCTTCTAATACCCCGTACACATTACAGCGTGATATACACTGTCTTGCAATGAGCACTCATACATCTAGTTTTCACTGGAAATCCTATGTATGAGTGCTCATTGCAAGACAGCCTATATTACGTGATATAGGCTGTAATGTGAACGGGGTATTATAGTTCTTCTATTCTCCATGAGTGCCAACTTTGATTTGCCAATAAACTGAACAAATTCTTCACTAGTTTACGAGCTTAGTATAACGTTGAAATAAATTTTAATCGAATCTATGAAAAAACATTGTTAAAGCATAAAATAATTAAATTTTAATCTATGTAATTAATACCCCGTTCACATTACAGCCTATATCACGTAATATAGGCTGTCTTGCAATGAGCACTCATACAGAGGATTTCCAGTGAAAACTAGATGTATGAATGCTCATTGCAAGACAGCGTATATCACGTGATATACTCTGTAATGTGAACGGGGTATAAGTAATATTTTTGAGTGTAGTAAATAACTTCAGCGGCTCAGTGACGCTCGGTATAAAAGGAAAATCCATTTACCTCTTTTACCTCTCGATCTCTCCCGGTATGCACCAGCAGGCCTGGAAGATTACACAACAAAACAAAAAAAAAACTGTCAAACATAAAAGCACTCGCCAAAAGAGAGAGAATTTTTTTCTAATCCATCAACATCAATAATATTATAATAACTTTTCAAAAACATCGATTTATCATCTAAAGTAGTGATCCCTGTTCTACAATCATCACCGCAGAACTGACCATGTAAGCAGGGTTTCCCGTGAATTCAATAAAAGCGGAAGCTCTTTTATTGCCCATTTGTAGGTCCTAGAGTAGAAATCCTTGAAGGCAAGTCAACATCACAGAACCAGACCGTGACCATGAGGATTCCTCTGTTCTTCAAATCGCTTCTGCTGAGCATCCCGGTCGGTGTCACGTTCTTTGATTGTGTTGGCTACGTTGCCCGTGTGGAGGGGGTCTCGATGCAGCCGGCACTGAATCCCGACGGAAGTCCGGCGACCGATTATGTGTTCTTGTCCCGGTGGGCCGTCCGAAATATGGAAGTCGATCGGGGCGATGTCATATCGCTGGTGTCTCCCAAGGATCCCGGTCAGAAGATTATCAAACGAGTGGTCGGTCTGCAGGGCGATGTCATCTCAACACTAGGCTATAAGGTTCCCTACGTGAAGGTGCCAGAAGGACACTGCTGGATAGAAGGAGATCATACAGGTGAGTGTTGTTGTTTTGAAACGATCTTCCGGAAACTAGATTGTAGCAATCATTATTTTAGGAAATTCGTTGGACAGCAATTCGTTCGGTCCAGTTTCGCTAGGGCTGATAACGGCCCGAGCAACTCAAATCGTTTGGCCGCCATCCCGTTGGCAAGTGTTGCAATCACAGGTTCCGAAAACACGGCACCCAATATCGCTTGGAAAATCCAACAGTAGCAACGGTAACAACAATCAAACGCTGCAAGCCCAAGAGAAGGCATCCTAAATCCCACTAAATCGTGCAGTTTCTTGGAAATTGTCACTGTTTTTTTTTTGTAAATATGAACTTAACAGGGACGTCTTGGAAAAACCGGTTTGATCAGACTACCGGCCACACAAAGTCATACCATAAATTCCTTGTTTTATTTTGGAGTCAGCTTTTTAGTTAAGTCTAGGTTTTTTTCAAATATCTTCGTAGCATATTTTATAAATAAATCAATATATTGAACTGAAACGTATTGTTGCAAAAACTGTTTTTTTTTTTCAAATTTCCTTCGTAATTCGATAGTTTATTGAAAACTAACAATGGTAACTTAACTATGCCTGCTCAAAGCCAAACTGCTCCACCACTTGAACTGTATGCTCAACGGCTACACCTTTGCGTATCACCCTGTACTGTCCCGCATTCGAGAGATCAATGACGGTCGAAGCAGCTCTCCGTTCCTCCCGCAACCCCAGCTGTCCCCCGTCAAAAACGGCCCCCAACGCTGGCCACAGCTTTTCAAACTCCCGTACATTCAATGTACTCTGTTCGGAACTTTTGTTGGCACTGGTCAATGCTACGGGGTACCGAAATGCTCTGGAAACATCCCGAATAAAGTCAAAGTCCGGAATTCGGATGCCGATCTTTTCCACCCCTGGATTAAGGAATGGATTGTCCAGATAGGCAGATTTTCTAACAACTATAGTGACAGGACCCGGAAGCAATTGTTCCAACAACTCGTCCGGCAGGTGATCCGCTTGACCCCAGTGTCGAAGATCGGCAAACTCTGCAACGCAAATAGCGACTGGTTTCCGTTCCTCCCGTCCCTTAATGGCGTACAACCGTTGAATCGCTTTGGGATCGTTGGCACTACAGGCCAGCCCGTACACGGTATCCGTGGGAAGCGCAATGACTTTTCCCGATTCGAGCAGGTTAGCAGCCTGGCGAATCGCATTTTTGTTATTGGCTTTGATGACGCCGGCGAATGATGCAATACTTCCGTTCATGTCTATCGATAATTCCCCGATCGGGCGCATTTGGATAAATCTAAATAATTTTTTTACGGATAATAAATTGAGCGCCGCTTTCATAATCTCCCTATGGCAATCTATTCCCTCCAATTGTGGCCGCAGGTAGGATTAGAGCACTTGTAGAATGTGGTCATAGGTTCGTCAGCGGAGCGGGTTTGTATCTGCATAAAATATGCTTTATTGTGGGCACACGCGGGGCAATCAGCATCAGTCGAATCTACGTTTTCCCAGGCAGCAGAACCGCCCATAACATGATCCACTTCCTGAAACGATAATCACCGGTTCTTATCCATGATCGATGAGCTAATCTTTCCTAGAGAGCTTACCTTCAACTTCGGATAGATGCGTGTCGAAATCTTGCGTTTTATCTTGCAGATGTACGGGCAGGTGTTGCACGAAAACCGAAGCGAATCTGTACCTTCTTCCACCAGTAGCAGATTACCGCAGGTGGGGCAAAACATCAACATCGTCAGAAGATTAATTTAGGTGCAATTTGTTGACGAAAAATGGTGATTTTAATAAAACAAAATTCACTAAAAACTGAAATAATGGAAACTCCATTTACCTCTTGTTGTCCTGTCACGCACGTGCTGTTGGCCGCGGCTGAGCAATGAGTACAGATAGAGGTGAAGCAGATCGTGAAATATGGTTGTGTAAACCAAAAAATCAACGTAAACTCAAGTAGTGACGTCACTAATTGCTTGTATCGTACAGGGGTTTTACTCACACAACTTAACCAATTTGTTTACCTCGGTAATCCAGTCATTGGCGGTTGAGTAGTTTGACAGTCACTGATAGCTGTCAAAATGGAGGGTAGTATGTCAATTTGTCCGCATGCTGTTTGCTATAATTTTAAATTATTGTACACGGAAACTTTCATATCATAGCCAATGCGAATAACTCAACAGGGGGAGAGTCACTTCTACTCAGAGGGATGGAGAAATTTCTAAAAAGATGCAGGGACTCAGCGCTGAGTTCGGTATTTTTCGGAACTATGCAATCATTAGATGTTATAATGCTATGTTGTACTTGTAAGTAACAAGAAGAGGGTGTAAATTATGTGTTTGACTCATAAAACCTGTCAATTTCGCTTTGAGAGCGTTACAATCAGAGTGAGCGCTCACGAGTCGTAAAATTGCTGATTGTGACGTACTGAAAGCAATATTGACAGATTTTATGTGTCAAACATATACTTCATGACCTCTTCTTGTAACTTACAAGTACTTATTAGCATTATACTATTTCATGATTACATAATTCCGAAAAACATTTTTTTATAGCAAGTGAGTGGAAGTAACTCTGGGACCAATCGAGCAATGTAAATAGATACGAGCGCCTCACGAGGAAAGCGTGAGGAGTATTGAGATGGTGGTTGAAATTTAGTTTTTGAGATTTAAATAATTATTATTAAGTTTGCGTATAAAAAATTGCAATTGGATGCTATTTTACTTCTGAAATACAAATTAAACACAAGTAAAATCTTTTGACATTGTTTTTATGTTTACATCAATGTCAAAAAGCAAATATTTTGTGTGGCAGGATAATTTGTCAAAATGGGATTATATGTTCTGTGATGTGAAATGTTCTCTGTTTATAGCCGTACGACCAACAATCAATACGAAACTAACGATTTTAAATTGGCTCACTACTTGACTAGCCTATTGGTCCCAAGCAAACGATTAACGTACCCCATTCTAGTCAAAATTCTAGTACTACACATACATTTTTGCCAAAACATCAGCCTTATACATTCCATAAGACAAACCACATAGGTCCTATAAGAATGCATAAAAGGTATGTGTGACCGCTTATACATTTCATTTTTGACACATGATCTTCATTAACTTTTAGCAAGGCGTCGGCTTATTAGTTCACTTATACACAGGCTTATACATTTTATGAATAATCAGCAATAGAAATTTGCCAAAAGGTATAAGGAGATTTCTATCCGTGTAGATAAGAACACTGGCTCGGACACTGGTTATATTTAATAAATGATACTTGGAAAAGAGTCTGGCGATTTTATCTTTATTATTCGTATATTTGTATCAACGATCTTTTACAGAAGCTGGAAGCTCATATATAGTGAAAAAAAATTCAATTTACTGAATTTAATAGTTTAATCCCTGGTTTAATCAGCAAAACGCTGCCAAATGTCAGAATTTTGAATTGCTGAAAGATCAGTAAAGAAGAATTGCTGATTTTCAGTAAAAGGTTGTCATTTTAACAGAAGTTGGAATTGCTGAAAAATTCAGCAGCATTATTTTGCTGGAGCGTTTGTTGATCTTTCATCAAGTCTAAAATCAGCATTCGCCAGGGGGTAAGTCACTCTGCCACCTTGTGCTAAACACATCAAAAACACTCTTCGACACACTCAAACACCCATTAATCACCATGAGAACAATTTTTCAATCTTTTTTGGCAGCACTGCCTAGAGCCAAGAATGTTTACATTCGTATGATGCTCTTTTTAGTTTTTGTGCATTTTTCTTAAGTAGAGATCACCCTCCAGCAATCGGTAGGATTCCACAGAAATCTGATCGGGACATGGACTCCTGATTTCGTCGAACATCTGTCGGTATCAGGGTCGGTATGCGGAATTTCGAGCTGTGGACCGAGTTGCGACGATCTGGAACGGGAGGATTATGACGGTTCCGTGTTCGAGGTCGGATGTGTTTACAAGTCGGGACGTGAATGTGGTGGACAAGCGACTGTTGATGAAGTTTCTGCAGAGTTGTGCAAGTTGGGAAGGGGAAGGAGAAGGGAGCGAGCATCAGGCAGCGGAAGTCGAGGGAAAGACGTTCCTGGAGTATTTGAAGAAACAAAAGTTACCCTCGAATTTGATCCATTACTTGTTGTACACAATCGCTATGGGAAATGACCACAATAGCTGCCGGGACGGGTTGGAAGGGGTGAAGAAGTTTCTGCTTAGTTTGGGTCGATACGGAAACAGCCCGTTTCTGTTTCCGATGTACGGATGCGGGGAGATTCCGCAGTGTTTCTGCCGGCTGTGCGCCGTTTTCGGAGGGATTTATTGTCTGGGTAAGCCGATCGAGAGTATTAATTTAAAGCGAGATGAAAGAGGCTATCAAGCTTTAAAGTTCGGCAAACAGACGATAGAGGCCAAAGGGTTGGTCATAAGGCAGGGGTACGTTGAGAAGGAGATTTTCGGAGTAAAGGAAGGCTTGAGGGAAGAGAAGCGAATGGAGCACTGTGGTCAAATGGCACGTGCTATATTTTTGACGAATGTTCCATTGGGTGTTGCATCGCAGAATTCCGGTGGAGGTGGCGTGTCGCTGATGAAACTGTCCCCCGTGGAAGGGCACAAAGATGGGGCTACCATCATCCAGTTGGCACGCTTTAGTGGCACTTGCCCGAAGGACATTTGTAAGTAATCAAGTCTGCCTAGGCGTGTGGACAATTTATAATTTATTTTGATTGTTTTCAAGATCTCATCCACGTGACGGCAAAATCCATCAGCGGTGACCCGAGGGCAGATTTGGAACCCTACGTGTCTCTCAAAGGATTATTTCATACCTGCAGAAGAGCTTGCGGAAGAAAAGGAAGCACCGGAGAATAACGTATCAACAATCCTCTACGAATTGTACTTTAACATTCCGAAATGCGTCGTGTGCCAGCATCCGTCCGGCTCCCTGCCGGAAGGAATCCATCTGGCCTGCGGCCCGCTTTACGAGTTGGACTACGATGAAAGCATAGCGCGAGCGCGTTCGATCTTTATGGATATCTACTCGGACGAGGAGTTCCTGCCGCGAGCTCCCGATCCAGAGGAGATCATTATCGGTGACGAAGAGGCCGGTGCTGCCGACCATGCGCCAGCGCCGAAGAAAGTGAGAAGGTGGAAAGCGCTCGGGAGTGTCAGGAAAGTGATGCGAGCTCAGAACCAGCTGCCGCCACAGCACCGGGCATTTCCGACGCCCAGGAAGCGAAAGAGGACTCGATCGACAATGCCGAAGAATGCCTGGAGCAGAAATAATCAAACATTTGCACGCTTTTGCTTGCTTAATTTATTCCAACTGTGTTGATATTTTTATTTAATGTGTGTACGTGTGTAATACCCCGTTCACATTACAGCGTATATCACGTGATATACGCTGTCTTGCAAGGAGCACTCATACATCTAGTTTTCACTGGAAATCCTACGTATGAGTGCTCATTGCAAGACAGCGTATCAGAGTTGAAAAAATCATGAAAAAATCACCAGCATTCACTATGAAATGAAATTTTCATCCATAGTGAACTTTGATGAATTTCAGTGATTTTTTCAGCCCTGCAGCGTATATCACGTGATATACGCTGTAATGTGAACGGGGTATAAAATCGCAACGCTGACGTTAAAATCATAGTATTTAGATGCAATAAATTACTACTTCTTCTGCTTAAACTGATGCAATAGTTATCCCTAATAAAAAATAACCATAAACGAACGATAACCCAAATCATTGAACTATTCCACAAATGGTTTGGATGATACCCAGAACACGTCGTTAAGCAAATTAACCATACAATTTTTATTAGGGATTGTTTAAAGCACTCGGTAGCCTAAACACAAAAATGCTTTTAAAGTGAAATATTCCGTTTTTTCCGATATGGACACTCGAAATGCCTTACATCATCTTTAGGGTCTCTATTGCTGCAATGATGACTCCCGCAATTGGGGATGACGATTCAACGTCAAGCTCAACATTATAAAAGCAGACCATTTCAGCCTCTTATGAGCTAGATTATCCGTAACTATGTGAAGAAATGAGCACTCCTTCTGCCGAACGTGCTGCGATACGGATGAACGTGGATCATGGAACGTGGACCAAGCCAGAGAACAACACACACTGGATTTACCTTTACGTTATTGCTAAGAACTCATCTGTTGAATCAAACCCAAACCTCAAATAATATGATGATGAATAGTATGATGTTTTCAAATATTTACTTGGGCATTGCACTTCAACGGACATTTTCTCAATGCCTGCTTTTTCCATATGGGACCATAATCACATTTTTCACTATTGTTTTGTTATCTATTTGGTAATTTTCTGAAATTGAGAAGACACATCGTGAAGCAGAAGCCGACGGACTGATGGCGATGATAGAGATCACACCTCCCAAGGATGACGACTGGTCACTTGTTGAAACATTGCAAGGAGGTGACCAGGACATTTACATGGCCATTCAGCGCAGCAGCATCGCGGAGGCACTAAGCAGCCTAATCAATCCGTCTGTTCCCCATTTTCTTCGGTCTGCAGGCCAACGCAGCTAAAAACAAAGAAGCAAAAAAAATCAATTTCGACTTTAAATCTCGTACGTCGATTAAATCACTACGACACTTACCTCCGAAAACCGGATGGTGGTCACAGACCGCGGTTGTATTGTTGAGATTAAATAATCCTCCTGCCCGTTGTTTTGATCTGAAATATTGACGTCGATGGAACTGTCGTCTCTTCTTTTACGACTTATGGGAATTTTCGGGTCAGTGAAAGATAGTACAAATTCCGCCATGTATCACGCACAGACTGTCGTTTGCTATTGGATTTTACCATAGGAGTAAAGAGCTATAGCTGTATACAGAGTCACCGTCAACGCCAATACACAAAGACGATCGCAGGGGGATCTGTCATTTTCCAAGGGGGGGAGGTGGCTGTCAAATACGAACAATCGTCGCCTACCTCGCATAACTGGTTCCAAACGTAAACAAGCCATAAGAAACCTACAGCGTTTGTTTACGTTTGGAACCAGTTTCATACAAGATGATCAGTAGGCTGATTTGACAGCACATCCCCCCCAGTCATTTTCAGCTATGTGGAAGTCATGGTTGCCAGTAAACATTGTATGTTGCCGCTTGACGTTTTGACAGCTCATTCGACACAGAAACACCCTGAAACACACAAAAACACACAAGAAACACAATCAGCACAGTCACAAGGTGGCAGAGTGACTTACCCCCTGTTCCACATGAGAGTTCCTTCCTGACATCTTCAAGTGGTGGAATTTTTGATTATTATTGTATGATTATTGACTGCACGGAAAAGGTCTCCATTAAGCTTTATAGAGGGTCTAGGATAAGATATGAGCGGACGCGGACTGCCTGGTTTTGAGCCAAACGAACTGTCAAAGCCAGAGCCATACGAGCAGCGCCTATCTTAATAGAGCATTTTATGAGACGTTTCTGGTTCAACTCATGAATGAACTGCAGGAGGCGGTTACCTAATGGCTGTGAGAAGCAATATCAATATCATCAAATTCTGGCAGGCAAACCAGCTCCTGTCATTTCATAAAATGGACTATTACATTGGCAGTGTTGCTGACCCTCTCATAGTCTGCATGTTTCAATCAGATTTATTTTTATTGTTCGTGAAGTAACCCACAATGAAAATACACCAATATTTAATGTAACAACAATTCCCTAATAAAAATTGTATGGTTAATTTGCTTAACGACGTGTTCTGGGTATCATCCAAACCATTTGTGGAATAGTTCAATGATTTGGGTTATCGTTCGTTTATGGTTATTTTTTATTAGGGTTTTTATTGTAATATTTAGAGTTGTTCATTATTGTTTATGATCGAATCATGTTAACAATAAAATAAATGAAAAATACGATAAAAATCATTGTAACAACATTTTATTATGTACATTCATTGTACAGCTAGATAGCAGTTTTGCCGTTTTCGGAAGAGTACAACATTATAACAATCATTTTTATTGTAGACAATAAATATTAATGTTAGAGCATTGTTTCCACTGAAAATTTCACTGTAATTTTTTTTTCGGGTACACTTACAACAAGCTGCGAATACAAAATGACAAGGCCAAAACGCAATGGGAGACTGAAGCGATATGAAAATGAATCGCATGACAGTTTTATCAGGGTTATTTTCGATGTTATACCCCGTTCACATTACAGCCTATATCACGTAATATAGGCTGTCTTGCAATGAGCACTCATACATAGGATTTCCAGTGAAAACTAGATGTATGAGTGCTCATTGCAAGACAGCGTATATCACGTGATATACGCTGTAATGTGAACGGGGTATTAAAGAAATCGGATAGCTCTGGAATGATTTATCATGCACTGACGACATGGTAAATTCGCTCAGTGTGTTCAACAGTAATTTCAAATCTCCATTCAGGACCACCCTAAACATTCAAGCAAATTCCTTTCGAAAACATTCGCATCAAACCAGCGTTCGAAACAACCGACCAATCACCGATCGCCAACGAACCATCAACCGGTAAATAACCATTAGCGAAAAAGAGACAACGTTTGCTCGCCCTGGCCCGAGGTCGGTGCACCGGCAAAACTACATCACTGCTTGTCGTCGTCCACCATTTCGGTCCGTCTTGTTGGCCACGTCTGCTCGTCGAACTTTTCGGTGGATTTGTAATCAATTTACATCAGTCAGTCAGTGCTTCAACCGGATACTTTATACCGGGTTTCGGGTGTGGTAATTTAGTTCGAAAGTGCAAAATGTTCTCCGCGAAAGTGATCACCGCGGTCGCTTTGGTGGTCGTTCTGGGTCTGCAGTCGGCGTTCGCCGGCGAAGCCGACGTCCTAGACCTGACCGATAGCGATTTCTCGGCCCGAGTCGCCGAAACGGAAACTACGCTGGTTATGTTCTACGCACCATGGTGAGTAATTCCGGTTGGTGGATCTTTATGGGGTTTTATTTAATGATGAGGCAATTTCACAACCGGATCATCCGGAGCGTGATGATGAGTAGGAATTTTCCATTTCTTGAAAGGTATTGATTAGTCGAACATCATTAACTGCTGCAAAGTACTTTTGGCTTTGTTGTACGGGATGTCATAATAGAAACGGGGCTAGGTGTCGAATTGTTCAGTACTACTGTCATGTCAGACTATAGGCCGGTATGCGTTCCGGTTAGGAATTAGTTGATTTTAAAATGTGACCGTTACTTTCGATTTTACAGGTGCGGCCACTGCAAGAAACTGAAACCCGAATATGCCAAGGCAGCCGAGCTTCTGCGCGGAGAGGATCCGCCGATCGCTCTGGCTAAGGTTGATTGTACGGAAGGTGGCAAGGATACCTGCGGCAAGTTTTCCGTGTCCGGTTACCCTACGTTGAAGATCTTCAAGAATGGAGAAGTCTCCCAGGAGTACAGCGGTCCACGTGAGGCCATCGGTATTGCCAAGTACATGAAATCGATCGTCGGACCAGCTTCCAAGGATCTTCTTACATTGGAGGCTTTCGAGGCGTTCCTGAAGGTGCAGGAAACCAGCGTTGTTGGTTTCTTCCAAAAGGAATCGGACCTGAAGGGTGTCTTCCTGAAGTATGCCGACAGCCAGCGTGAACGTCTGCGATTCGGACACAGCAGCGCCAAGGAAGTGCTGGACAAGCAGGCTGAAACCGATGCCATCTATCTGTTCCGTGCCAAGCAGCTGTCGAACAAGTTCGAACCGGACTTCGTCAAATTCGACGGCAAGACCAAGGAAGATTTGGCCACCTTTGTCAAGGAACACTTCCAAGGACTGGTTGGAGTTCGTACCCGTGATAACCTGAACGATTTCAAGAACCCGCTGGTCGTGGTTTACTACGTTGTCGATTATGTCAAGAACCCGAAGGGAACCAACTACTGGCGCAATCGGGTACTGAAGGTCTCCAAGGAGTTTGTCGGACGTGTTAACTTTGCTGTCAGCGCCAAGGATGACTTCCAGCACGAGCTGAATGAGTACGGCTATGACTACGTCGGTGACAAGCCACTGGTGCTGGCTCGTGATGAAAAGAACCAGAAGTTCATCATGAAGGACGAATTCTCGTAAGTTATCTCACCTTTTGTTTGTTTGACTTTGCTGATAAGCTGTTCTTTCGAAAATAATTTCGCGATATCTCCGGCATGAAGCATTACCACGTCATGCTGTGATTGTGCTGTGCCACACGTACTACACAGTAAACGAAATTTGGTATTGTATCAAAAACCGATGCATATCGATCAGGTCGAAAAAGATGATGGGTGAATATTAACGAACGATTTTCTGCACTTCTTACAGAGTTGAAAACCTGCAGGCCTTCGCCACCGAACTGGAGGAAGGATCCCTGGAACCGTACGTCAAGTCGGAACCCATCCCAGAGAGCAACGATGCTCCGGTCAAGGTTGCCGTTGGCAAGAACTTCGAAGAGCTCGTCATGAACAACGGTGTTGATACGCTGATTGAGTTCTACGCTCCGTGGTGCGGACACTGCAAGAAGCTGACCCCAATTTACGAGGAGGTGGCCGAAAAGTTGAAGGGCGAAGATGTCGCCATCGTGAAGATGGATGCCACCGCCAACGATGTACCGCCGACGTTCGACGTCCGTGGATTCCCGACGCTGTTCTGGCTGCCCAAGAACGAAAAGACCAGCCCACAGCGATACGAGGGTGGTCGCGAAGTCGACGATTTCCTGAGCTACATCGCCAAGCACGCCACCGACGAGCTTAAGGGCTACGACCGCAAGGGCAATGCCAAGAAAATCGAACTGTAATCTCACAGAGGCGACGAGCATACTTGTAGAGGGGGGATGAGACAACAGGACAATACTTGTTCTGTAAATCTCCATGCGGGAGCGAAATCAAGAAAACCTACCACTTCATCTATTTTGTTTTTTCCCGGACGTACTGAAAAACTGTAAATTTTCATTCCTATTTGTCAAACTATAGCTCATGGTGTTTTTTTTTTTCAAGTTGAAATTTGACCTACGACTTCCATTTCAGTACTACCATCAAAGCACATTTTCCGTTAGTCTGTGTTATAGCAAAAAAAAAAGTGATTAAACAAAAGAATGATTACGAGAGCTAAAATTTCCGCACTTTCGTGCAAACAAACGACAGAACGTGCATTTATGTTCAGTATCTCAGACCAGCGTCTGGCCGTGGAAATGTTTGGACAACAAAAAAGCAGGTACAAAACATATGAAGGAAGGACGCAAAACGCTTAGTATGTCAACAACTGAGAGGCATATGTGGAATACCATTCGAATTAACCACGTTTCTGAAATTTATACTTAGGTACAGTGGATCAACATTTAGTAAAGGGAGTTAATTCTTTATGTGGATTAATTTTGTCAAGATCTTACAAAAGTTGAATAAAGTTTCTAATTTTTTTTTTAAGATTAACTAAACGTAAGTCATAAATGTTTTTGCTTGTATTTGGATAGAATGGAAAGAACTTTCAATATGATCTCCTCGTAGGTTTCATTCATAGACAGTAATAGAGAGTAAATTTCGCGGAATTTTTCAAATTTCCCGTTTGTGCGGTATAATCTACATTTAAATTAAGGATTAATCCCGGGTTATTGAATTTGGTTCTGCGTTCGAAGTTTTCAAAATTTGTCTATGAAAATTCGCTCAAAACTTTACAGGATAGTTCTCAAGCATTTCCTTTAAAATCATTCATCGTCCTTAGATTCTTTTCGAAATTGAAACTTGTTTTTTAAGAATTCCTTGAAGCTTCCTTCCAGTTTTTTTTTTATATCGGCTTGAATTCTTCTTAGAATTCCCAGAAAGGGATATCCCCTGGTTACATAGTTGAGAGTTTGGAGAACCTAGAAGGGGTTCTCCTAGAGGTGGGTGGGGCTCCACAAGAGTTCATTATAAATCCTGTTTTGGTTTCTAGCGTGGTTGGCGGATCATGGTGTGAATGTCGGTGGTCGTTTTTGAAGGCTGTCATGTCATGTGATATTCAGGCTTATTTCATTGGTGTCCATGTTCGAGGCGTTGTCATTTTGTATAGGGAGAGGGTGGGTGATTATATTTTATAGAACAGTGCACTGCCTATTATAATCGCATATCAGGGGCCACATTGCGCGCGCATCTCGAAACGAAAGACTTTTTGTACGAACGCTTGTATGAAAAAGTTTTTCATTTCGAGATGCGAAATGCGGCCCCAGTTCCATAGGGAAAAAGTAGGCATTGAGAAAATGTCAGTCGAAGTTTGGGGGAGGTAGCTCATCTATTCTTCCGGTTCACCTCCTAGCATCGTGCTATAAGGTACCAGGCGATATCCAGGGTAGTTGATCGATAGCTCGATAACGCCATTTCGTTGGCGTCTGCAATGGGAAATTCTCGTAGCAGGCGTTGTCGAGTTGTTGAATAGCAACTATCGTGGTAACTCACCGATTACCTGTCGATCTGCCAAATTTGGAAAGACGTCTGCATTGAATTGTCTCATATAATAATATTCCGCCCACTATATCACAAGAAATTGCGAGTAGCTGAGTGGAATGGAGATAAGTTAAGCATTGGGTACAGGACCAAGTCTCCCCTGGGTGGTGCCACAAGATGAACGTAATAGAAGCAATAGAATCATCAAGTTGTCATAAGGCACAGAATGAGACTATTGCATGGCTGGGTAGTCAAAGTCTTCCATTCGTTAGTCATTTCAGGTGGATTAGAACATGTTTAGGTTTAGAGTGGGCGTTGGCCAGATTTGGATTTTTCAGATATAATCCGAAATAGGACCTAGATTATTGAATACACTAGTAACCTCAACCTCTGTCACAATGTTTCATTGTGATTAATAAACACTCAATGGGTAAATTATCAAATTTGCGGTAAATTTGAAAAAAAGCGAAGACTACAAATCAAGAAGACTGGCAACTGTTCCCTTCTCCCATACAAATGTCAAATGTCACTGATAATCAAAGGTGGAACTTTGAAGCACAAGTGTTAGTGAGACTGCTCATAGACAGTGACTGTGTGTGTGACCTTATGTCACCGAAACGAATAATCATAAAACGGTACTCGTTGTTGTTTTTGTTTTGCTCTACAAAATTTCATGGCAATTTGAATCCTAATCACAGCAAGCCGGTGGTTTTGCAACTCCAAACCGAAAAACTTGTCATGGTGGATCAAGTAGAGGATTGAAACTTGGATCGATATCTAGTGAAAGTAGCTTTTACTTCTGAACGAGGAACTGCCTGTTGGAAGCAAATAATTATAAGGAATTGGCAGCTTCCACCACCATCGAGTGAACTACCGTCATTGCATTGGAAGCTGCTGAAAATTCAAGGATATAAAAAGAAGGAAGATCCGATACCTGCATCACGATCCAATGGAAGGCGTACCAGGATCTAATGGTGGAGAAAATGAAAATGAAAGGTTGAAGCACTACAATTCCATTTTAGATGATGTGGGAACATGAAACCACCGGATAGTGATCCTCTGTATGCTTTAACTATGCTTGGAATCGACCGACTCCTTCCAGAGAATGATAACAACAGTGTCGGGTTGGTCAGTGACATTCAAATGGTCAGCTAGTACTGTGCCAAATTGCCGAGCGTCGCAACTTAACTCCCCTACTGTGGCCAGGTGCCAAGGCCGTGCGGAACGGGCATGAATTTTACTAATGCACCATAAAAATGCCCATAAATGCATCACTAAATAGCTTAGGAAAAGTGGAAGATAATTCTGAGATAGCAAAAATTAATGATCAAGGAAGGTCCCACCATTATTGTCAATGGCATCATTGCCATAGTTTTAATTTTCATCACAAATTTACTTATCCATCTGTTCAATGTTAGCTAAAATTTTACTCGTTGTCAGCATAAAGTAAAGAAAGAAACGTTTCACTTTTTACGACAATCATAATAAAACCAATAATTGACAGCTATTTATGTCTACCTATGTGTGTGAATGCACTCGTGAATTAACACACACCATCATACACAGGTTCCACTTTTGCTCAGAAGAGGCGTTGTCGTTACTGTCTCCTGATTTTTGGCAGAGTTGCCAGTCTTCTTGGTTTGTAGTCTTCGAAAAAAGGGAACTTGGAGTGTAGAGTGCACTGCCGACTGGACGAGTGAGTGGGTTACGGGTTTATTTGATTGTTTCCAAGTTATACATAGATACATTCATACCATTGGCATTTTGTATTTGAGATAAGACAGAGATAGGATGCGGAGGGCCCGCTTAGGGGGAGCGTAACTCATGTTATGGCTTCCATTTATTAAATAGTTCAGATAGGCTGGAAATGATAGGTTCGTGGTGAGAAAATGTACCATATGGTGCCCGTTCACTGATCAAAATTAGATTCAAATCGTCCAAAACCCAACTCCAGCGCTTAAAGAAGGTGGTAACCCAACAAACAATTCACAGTCACAAATAAGCATACACATTGAATAAATGCTGTATAACAGTGTACAATGCTGAATAAAACAATATGTCGAATTATGTGCTGAAAAAAGCTCATTGAGATCGATAGATGCGCCTTTATTCCTCCGTTTGCTCTGATATGATTAATATACTTATCAAAAGCTTTATAAAAGTTGACTGTCTTCCTGATTCAGAACCAGTTTGATCTAATAACAAACTGAATAAGTGTAATTTTCACATACATTGCCGCTTTAATTCGACTGTTTTCAATTGCTTCAATAAAATGCTTTATTAGACGTCTTATAAATGTTTTCTAGCTCTATTATTAGATTTCATTGCATTGCTTTACAATATTGCTGTATAAAGGTGAATACAGTCAGCAAAATAGCTCTTATACCACTATAGGCCCAAACGCAATATGGGCGAAAGCGGAACGGAAACGGAAAGTTTGACAGTTGTCACAAATGACATCAAGATGCCTAACCAAAGTCGATTTGGTTCTAACTAGTTTTCAATCCGACAAGTTGGTTTACTCAGATCGGGCTTTTCCGCTGCCGCTGCCGTTCCGCTTCCGCTGTCATTGCGCTTGGGCCTTATGCGTCCATGTTTTAGTTGAATGCTTTGTAAATGCTTTATAAACGACGTATTAGATTCATTATTCCACATCACTGCCCAAAAACAATTCAAAGTCACAAATAAGCATATAGATTGAATAAATGCTTTATAACAGTGTACAATGCTGAATAAAACAGGTTGTCAATCCTGATGAATGTGGGCGTTAGTACAAGAAATACGCAGGTTGTCAAATTATGTGCTCAGAAAACCTCATTGAGATCGATTATGCGCCTTTATTTCGCTGATTGCTCTGATTTGATTAATATACTTATTAAAATCTATACAAACGATGACTGTCTTCCTGATTCAACACCAGAAGTTTGATCTAATAACATACTGAATAAGTGTAATTTGCACATACATTGACGCTTTAATCCGACTGTTTCAATTGATTTAATAACATGCTTTATTATACGTCTAATAATTGTTTTCTAGCTCCATTACTAGATTCCATTGCATTGCTTAACAATATTGCTGAATTAAGGTGAATACAGTCAGCATAATAGCTCTTATTCCACTATGCGTTCATGTTTTAATTGCATGCTTTATAAATGCTTTACAAACGGCGTATTTATTCATTATTCCACAACAGTGATTCAGGCTAACAACTAAACGGAATTGGTAGCACAGTGGTTACCGTTTCCGCTTTCCAAGTAGAAGGTCGCGAGTTCAATCCCAGCCTCAACCCTTTTTTTTATTTATGTTCTACTCCTAATTAATTTAAATCGTAATCATAAATCGTATCACTCACGACAACCAATTCATAGATCTATTGAAAAGGTTAGCATCCTTTCCATCGAAATTAGATAGATGGAGAGGTAACGTTGATCTAATGTTAAACAACTAATAGGTTACTGTAATGAAACATGAACTATGAATGAATTAATCATTCTCACATCTCCTTGAATTAGCTAGAGTTACGGCTGGAAGTGCTGATAGGTTTTCAGATTCAAGCTTTTATTGCTTATTTAGCTGCTCAAATGATGTATTCTAGGATAGCTCAGATGGCAAGGCAAGCGGCTGGTGATCGGAAGGTCATGGTTCGAATCCCATTTAACGACATGTGTGTGTATGTATGTATGTATGTAATAAATTCGACAGAAATAATGACACAACAATCACTAACGAAAACAAACCCTGCTCGTGCCGTTCTTATTTTCGGATTAATTGTCCCGTAGTTGAATAATCGTTTAATAAATGTATAATGATGTAATAATTAAACATTATTTCACATGAAAATCAAGCGTCTATATACACCTTTATACCATCGCTGTTTAAGGAAGTACAGATGGTCTAATAAACGCTGAATAATCAAAAATTTGATCGAATAAGCTATGTTACAACTTTTGTAAGTCGAATAAAAGCTTCTCGACATACCTTATTCAACACCAAATATTTCGATGTTGTGGTTGAATAAAT